TTATACTGCCTAATGATGTTGTGTACCTCAGATCTTGGGCAAATAAATAGCTATATAACAATGTGATTTTATGTGAGTACCTCTTTTAGTTTGCTTGAGGTTGTGGGACACACTTGTATCAGTTTGACCTCTGGAAGAGGGTGAAGCCTGAGGTAAGGGCCATTATGCAGGATGTCCATGCCTTTGGGACTGACTCCCAATAAATACCTGCACACCAAAGGTTCCTGGTTAGCAGTATTTCATGTGTTCATATGTGTCACACATGACTGCTGGGAAAATAAAGCTGTCCTTATAACTCTACTGGGAGAAATAACTGGAAGCTTGCATCTGGTTCCTCCTAAACTCTGCCCTCTGTGCCTTTTGCCTTTGTTGATTTTAATCTTGTGAAATAATAGGAAATATATATTTATATACACATATATGTGTATATATACATATGCACACACACACACACACACACACACACACACACACACACACACACATATGATATGAGTAGTGTATTTATATATAGGTGTCTGTCTGTGATTCCTGGCACAGAAGTCCTAAAACCCGGTAGTTTTTAAAGTGATAAGAGTACTAGGAGCTTCTCTTGTTCTAGTATTTGCCTTTGACCCTGTCTCTAACACAGAGCTCCTAAACTCTTATAAGCTCCTAAGTGGTAAGAGCACTAGAAACATCTTTTGTTCTACTGAGGCGACTCTGGGTGGGTGCTGGTTGCCAGAAAGACCAAGCCCTAATCAGAAGTTTTGGAGTTTTCAACTCCATGCCTCATCCTCCGGAGAGGGGAGAAGGGCTGGAAATAGAGTTAATAATTGATCATGCCTACATGAGGAAACCTCCATAAAAATTCCAATAGGACAGAGTTCAGTGAGCTTCCAGGTAGGTAAACATGTCCCCACCAGAAGGGTGGTGGACCCTACCTCCACGAGGACAGAGCTCCTGCCCTCAGGGCCCTCCTAGACCTTGCCCTATGTATCTCTCTATCTGGCTGTTCATCTGTATTCTTTATCATCTCCTTTAATAAGCTGGCAATTAAAGTGTTACCCTGGCTTCTGTGAGCCACTTTGACAAATTTGTCTAATTGAACCCAAGGAAGGGGACTTGTCGGAACTTCCAATCTATAGCCAGCCATCATAAGCACAGGTGATAACCTGGGCTTGCAACTGGCATCTGAAGGGTGCGTGTGTTGGGGTAATCTGTTAGAACTGAGCACTTAACCTGTGGGACCTGACACTCTCTCCAGATAGACCATGTCACAATCAAATTAAATTGCAGGAAACCCATTTGGTGTCAGAGACTTGCCTGTTGTTGTGGGGAAAACTCCCACACATCTGGTGACCAGAAGTGTCAAGAGGTAAAGTGTTCTGTGTGAGTAATAAAGGAGACACACAGAGGATAAACACACAGCCAGGAAGAACTAGGTCGTTCCCTATGTAGGGAGGAAAAAACTGAGTTTTTCCTAAATGGATCTGTATCCTTTTGTGGTAATAAACTATAAGCAAAGCAGCTTTTCAGTGATTCTTTCCGTAAATTCACTGAGCCTGAGGGTGGTCTCCGGGATCCCTGACACACTTATCATCAAGTGTCACTAACAATCAAGTCTCTACACATAACCCATCTGCTACAACTGATTAATTTTATTTGTACTAGCAATAAAAGAAGCTAGATTTATATCAAATGTTAGGGAACACTAAAAATTGTCTAGGCATGTCAAGCCATGAACAACTTCAAAAAGGGCAGGAAAACCAAATGCTACAGAATCACTGCAACTGCAAATTAACTTTAAGAAGCATAATAGCCAGAAAGCAATAAACACAGACTAACCTGAATCAGTCCAGATTTCTTCTGTAGTCCTAAGGGTGAATATTTAGTTTTTCTTCTAATGTCCACACCCCAATCCAGCTTCTCCAGCATTCTCACTAATAAATTAAGTCATTCCGGCTGTTTCATTCCTCTGCCTGCTACTATTCTTGTTTTCTGTTGTGCCCTATACCCTAAAACCCAAATTAGAAAGCTGGATATTATCCCTGACTTCCTCTTTTCTTACCACCCACGTCAAACCCAGCAAGTTATCATCGAAAAAATTTTCAAGTCTTCTCTTGTCTTCCTAATGTCTGAGCTCTAACACCGGTGCTAATTTTCTCTCATCCATACTACAAAATCACCATTGATTTGTCTTTCCAACCTTACTTTCCCCTAAACTCTACACTCCACTTAATGGTATGAATCATCAATCCAGAACACAAATTAGACCATTATTCTATGGTCTGCCATCAGCTACATAAAAAGGATATATGGCTCTTAAGGTATACGAGATGCTGTGTGATCCAGAAACTGCTAGATTTCTGCCATATTTCCCCCCAACCTTTGCTTTATAGCTTATTCTTCGATCTCTCTAGTTTTAACAACTCCTTTCCTGGCTCTTTTTCTCTTGCTGTCATTGCTTAAGTGTAGAGAGTTTCTTAGAATTGAATTTTTAGCCCTTTTTCCATATTTTCATGAATCCCTTAAATATGGACAAATCTCAAATCTGTATTGCGTTTTCCTACTTGGACTACTGCTATGGATGAACAACATGGTTCAAGTAAACCAGAATCAATGTGTCTGCCCTACGATAAACTCATTACCTTCCTCTACTAGTCTCATTCCTTTTGCTTTTTACTCCTTCTGATAGTTATGGCATTATTATCCATGAGGATTGCTAAATTAGAAAACAGTAATTTTTACTTTTCCTTCACTTTGATCCTTTCCTCTTGAAGTCCTACTTATTTTATCTCTTAACGCTCAAATTTTCCTTCTCTTAGCCATTACTGTCTCTAGCTCAGGCCTTCATCAACTTCTTTAGACTTACTATGATAGCAAAATAGGCCTACTTAACATTCATACTTTCCCCAGTCCAAACCTTGCATACCTTTTCTAAGTTATTTGACCATAACAGATATGAGCACATCATTTCTGTTTAAAAATCTTCAAGGACTCAAAAAAAAAAAAAAAAAATTTAAGGCACGCCTGGGTGGCTCAGTCGGGTGGGCGTCCAACTTTGGCTCAGGTCATGTTCTCATGGTTTGTGGTTCGAGCCCCACATTGGGCTCTGTGCTGACAGCTCAGAGCCTGGAGCCTGCTTCTGATTCTGTGTCTCCCTCTCTCTGGCCCTCCCCTGCTCACGCTCTGTCTCACTCTCTCTCAAAAAAAACAAAACATTAAAAAAAAAAATCTTCAAGGACTCTGCACTGATTACAAGATAAAGCCAAACTCCTTAACACAGGATTCAAAACCCTGCAACTTAACTCCCCAGCAAATGTGCTGGGTTATTAATTACCTGTGTTCTCCAAACGTCCTAAGTATTCTCTTAAGTCTTTAATATTTTTCTCCTCATATACCTGAAATGACTTTTCAACTTGACAAAATACTACTCATTTTCCATCTGTATATCATTAGACAGATTAGTTACTTAGATATCTGCCTCTTACCACATTTGTAAGAGAGAGAAGTTTCACTTAATTTTTATGATATTTTGGACTATGTCACAAATGGACAGTTACTTTAGTTGCAAAAGTATTCCATCCTAAGAGCTTAAAGTTCTAAAATGAACTAGAGAAATGTGGTGCAACATTAGCATAGATGTATCTTCTTCACCCCAATGACAAATTACACACATAATTCTGGCATACACACATTCATATTATGTATGTATGTAAACAAACACAGAATTATAAAAACACAAACACGTAACAAATCAGAAAGAGATCTTAGCTGAAACAAGAGATGTCAAATCGACTAGATGAACACTAGAATCAATACCAGATTCACTGAAATTTATTCATTATATTACCCCATGGAAGAGTAACATTTTGCATTACTACATTAAGAAGAGTTTTCAGATTATCTAATAAAAAAATCTGCCAGAATATATATAGGAAATTCTTAAGTAAATCTCAGTAATGACCAAATCATCTAAAAATACCTTTGCATTTAAAATTATACTTGATATTCTTCAATACTATACCTCCAAAGGTTTGGGTCTTCAACACTGTACCTCCAACTGTCTCCTGGGAGACAGTGTGGTTTCAAAGAAACCACACAAGATCTGCCATCAGAAGATCTCAGTTGTGTATATCAACTTTGATCCTTATTAGCCCTGCAACTTTGGATAAGTCACTTAATCTTTCCCTGAGGCCCAGTTTTTTACTCAGTAAAATGGTGACAATATCTATTCTATCATAAGATTAAATGAAGGGCGCCTGGGTAGCTCAGTGGGTTAAAGGTCTGACTCTTGATTTCAGCTCAGGGCATGATCTCATGGTCTGTGGGATCGAGCCCCATGTCAAGCTCTGTGCTAACAGTGAGGAGGCTGCTTGGGATTCTCTCTCTTCCTCTCTCTGCCCCTCCCTGGCTCACGCTCTCTAAATAAATAAATAGACAGACAAACATTAACAAAAACAAAACAAAACAAAAAGAACCAAATGAGATTTAAAGAAATATAGAGGTGCTTTCTAAATTTTTTTAAATGTTTATTTATTTTTGAGAGAGAGCATAAGTGGGGGAGGGGCAGAGAGAGAGGGACACACAGAATTTGAAGCAGGCTCCAGGCTCTGAGCTGTCAGCACAGAGCCTGCTGCACGGTTCAAACTCACAAATTGCAAGACCATGCCCTGAGCCGAAGTCAGACGCTCAACCGACTAAGCCACCTAGGCACCCCATGAAGGTGCTTTCTAAAGATTCACCTCTTTATAAATACTGACACTTTAAAATACACTAATAATACAGATACATTACACATGCAAATCTTCTCCAAAGTTAGCATTATTGCTGTCTGGATGATTTAAGATATAAATTTAATATAACCTTAACCCTGTTTCTGAAAAATAGTTATACATTGTGGAAGCTTCACAAGTTAATAAAATATATGCTGACACTTACAAAAGTCTAAAAAAATAAATAACCTTTCCAGTTCCATCAAGAACAAAATCCCAAATCTAAGCTTCTGCTTTACTTACATTTATATCCGTATGGTATATGAGGACACATAATGCTGGCAAAATCTGAGGAAAGAAGATAAACAATAAATAACACAGAGTTGATGAATATGTCTTTGTAAACATGAATAACTGTGATACAAAACAGTAAATACTATTTGCAGAGCAAGAAAAGACAACGTTAAATTTGCTTGAATCCCTATTAGGAAAATGAAAATCTGATAAATTCAATCTGAAAAACCTAAAACATACTTCAGATATCCGATTAAAACTTCCAAATAAATCTGGCAGAGATTAATGTACCTTAAAAGAAAAAACAGTTGTTTTCAGTAACTTTATGACATAAAATGTCAAGTGGAAAGAATGGAGATGAAACTATACAGTATAGCTCTCTAAAAAAAAAAAATCTATTTTTTTTTATTTTTTTTTTTAATTTTTTTTTCAACGTTTTTTATTTATTTTTGGGACAGAGAGAGACAGAGCATGAACGGGGGAGGGGCAGAGAGAGAGGGAGACACAGAATCGGAAACAGGCTCCAGGCTCTGAGCCATCAGCCCAGAGCCCGACGCGGGGCTCGAACTCACGGACCGCGAGATGGTGACCTGGCTGAAGTCGGACGCTTAACCGACTGCGCCACCCAGGCGCCCCAAAAAAATCTATTTTTTAAGGATTTTATTTTTTAGTAATCTCTACACCCAATGTGGGGCTCAAACTTACAATCCCAAGATGAAGAGTTGCATGCTCCACCGACTCAGCCAGCCAGGCACGCCTAAAGAAAGCTATTCTGAAAACTGTCGTCTCACTTACCTGCCTATATTTAATAAGCTACTTGAGTCAAATTAAAGTTTCTGGCTCCAGATTTAGTCAAGAAAATAACAACCAGTACAAAGTATACAGTTTGTTGAATTCAGGCCTTACAGATCCTTTTTTTTTTTTTAAATCTGGGAGGGAAGAGGTAGAATCACACTAAGTACCCTTTCCATAACAGCAAAACGCAGTAGAAGCTGGTGAAAGATATCAATTATAAAGATTCAGAGTTAACATTTTTTGACACAGTTAAGTGGTTAAAGGCTGCATAGAATTTTTAAAAACTTAAAATATTCAGATCCATTTACAGATTAAATGTAAATTAAAAATTTTCTACTTTGTTTTAATTAATAAATTTAATACAAAGCATGTCACACATTTAAGAACACTAATTTTATCAGAAATCTAGGGAAATTTCAATTGGATTTAATGTAAATTCATTCAAGAACATACGAATTTAAGTACACCAGGTTTTATCTGCAGCGATCCTTTAATTTTTTTAGCAGTAAACCAACAATGCAATGTAGTAACAAAATTTCTGAGATTTGATTTTCTCCTTTTGTATTTTTCTTTTTGAAAGTTTGTTTCCTTTTCGTGAAAACAGTCATTAAAATATAAGAATTAGGGTGGACTAATATTCTTTCAGGTGCCATAAGATACTCAACTTCCATTTCACAGGAGTCAAAAATTAAATATGATATGTTACTTAAAAAATCTCATACCTGCAATGAAATCAGTATATGCATTATTTCATTCCCTGTGAATGAAACTCTAAAGCATAACATAGGGAAAATATACCATCTGGGCTTTGCAATTCTTCATTTACCTCCTGAACTGTCTCCATAGGCGGTGGGGGATCCTTATTCCTGCAGAGATTGACAATGACCCATGTGACGTTCCGAAGGAAGGTGATGGGAATGGAGGGATTGATGAAGGACAGAAGAGGTTTGACAACTCCCAGTGATATGACATAATCTCTACATTGAGGACCATCACCTACAGAAATGAAAATTGTATTTAAAAAAAAATTACATTCAGGATGAGAAAGTCTGAAATGTATGCAATGGCTCATGTTGGGACACTGATGTTCTATGTTTCCTCACCATTAGTCAAGGGCATCAAGCGTTGCTGTTTCTCCAGATTTTGATTTGGAGAACACAAATTTAACCTAAAAATCCTGACAGCAAATTGCATATCTGTTTCAAGAGGTACCATCTTAAGTTTGTACTTATAAGGCAAGAAGATAGTCAACCCACGTTAAAATTAGAGGAAACATAGGATGTAATGGCTATGCCAATGTAGGAAAAAAGTTAATTAAGATTCTTAATTGGTCTCTTTTTAAACCTAAATCCAACTTACCTATAATGTTTCCCAAAGCCCATACTGCTTGTTCACAAACATTCTGATGTGGTGAATGGAGAAGTCTCAAAAAAAGAGGTACGGCATCTATAATAAAGAAAAATAAATACTGGTATTATAAAATGTCGAAGAGTTTATAGATTTCAGTCTAAATACATTGACAAAATATACAGAGCTTGGGGGTGCCTGTGTGACTCTGCTCATTAGGCAACCAACTCGATTTTGGCTCAGGTCATGATCTCATGGTTTGCGGAGTTCAATCCTCGCATTGGGCTCTGCACTGGCACAGCAGAGCCTGCTTGGGATTCTCTCTGTCTCTATTTGCCTCTGTCCCGTGCTCTCTTTCTCTCTCTCAAAATAAATAAATAAACATATATATATATATACACACACACACACACACATATATATGTGTGTGTGTGTATATATATATATATAGAGAGAGAGAGAGAGAGAGACAGAGAGAGAGAGAGAGAGAGACAGAGGGAGAGAGAGAGCCTGGCACACTATAGTTACCCAATTATAGTTCAATGAATGAATAAATGTGGCATATACCCTTACCCTAAAAAAATTTAGTATTTTCCCCTAATTATATTCAATAACACACCTATTGACAATATTTAAAAGTTGTTATATCATTAACTAAAAAAAAAAAAAAAAATGAAATTTTTCCTGTAATGCATTAAAAAAAAAACCCTAAACACATAAACTTAGAATATAATACTTTAGTCAATATGATCCCAATCGCTGATATGGGATTAAAGAACTGATTATTCCCATATCTGGCTTACCTTGAATAATAAAAAAGATTTATCATTATAATCCTTATGCTTACATAATTTACATGTTAGCTTAAGTTCTGAAACAATGGTATCATACCCATTCCAGCTGGGAAGCTAAAATAAGCTGAATCATTTTTTCTTAAATTTCAGACAACTATGTACTACTTACAGTATTTTTTGCTGTATCTCTCTGCACTACCAACACTTAAAACCAACTCACACTTTTAACAGCTTTATTAAGATATAATTTACCTGCTTAAGTACACAATTCAACGTTTTTTAGCATTTACACAGAGTTGTGTAGTTACCATCACAATTTAATTTTACATTTCCATTACCCCCTAAAGAATGCCACACCCACATAGCAGTCCTACTGCCCATTCAGCTTTAGGCAGCCATTTGCTTTCTATCTCTATAGATTTTCATACCCTGGATATTTCATACAAATGAAAGTATATAATAAGTCGATTTTTTTGTGTTTGGCTTTTTTCAATTAGCATAATGTTTTTGAGGTTCATCCTTATATAGCACATACCAGTAGTTCACCCTTTTAAAAAAAAATTATTTATTTAAATCCAAGTTAGTTAACACATAGTGTAATAATCTTTTCAAGAATAGAATTTAGTGATTCACCACTTACATATAACACCCAGCACTCATCCCAACAAGTGCCCTCCTTATTAATGTCCATCATTCATTTAGCCCATCCCCCTCACCCCCTCCTCTCTCCCCCAACCCTCAGTTTGTTCTCTGTATTTAAGAGTCTCTTATGGTTTGTCTCCCTCTCTGTTTTTATCTTACTTTTCCTTCCCTTCCCCTATGTTCACCTGTTGTGTTTCTTAAATCCCACATATGAGTGAAATCATATGGTATTTGTCTTTCTCTGACTTATTTAGCTTAGCAATTATGCTAGCTTCATTCTAGTTCCATCCACGTTGTTGCAAATGGTAAAATTTCATTCTTTTTCATCGATGAATAATCCATTACACACACACACACACACACACACACACACACACACACACACACACCACATCTTTATCCATTTGTCAGTCGATGGACATTTGGGCTCTTTCCATAATCTGGTGATTGTTGATAGTGAGTAGTTCATTCTTTTTTATTGCTGAATAGTATTCTATTATATAACACATTTTGTTTATCTACTTATATCAGTTAATGGATATTGAGATTATTTCCATGTTTGGGCCATTGTGAGTAAATGTACAACATCTGTGTACAAGTCTTTGTGTGGACATGTTTTCATATCTCTTGGTTCCACCTACTAGTAGAACTGCTAGGTCATATGATAACTCTATGATTAACCTTTTGATAAACTATTTTCCAAAGAGGCTACACCATTCTACATTCCCACCAGCAGTGTGTGAGGGTTTCAACTGACTCACATTTGTAATTTAACTGATTTTATTTATCACTTCTGCAAACAGAAGACCAGTATCACTTACCAGTATCACAAATAGAAAGTAACCAAAAGATTAAAAATGCAAACAAAATACTGTTACTAAATTGTAGGTACAATTAATAGGTAGATTGGTAACTAGTAGGTACCTACTAGTCTCTACTGAAAGCCCTAGTCTAAAATCTGCTACCTTTTTGGTACAACTAACATCTAACTGGGAACTTTCTCCTTTGGTATTACCAAAATACCTGAAAGAGAGTAGTATTCTCACTAATTGACACAATGTAACTTATTGCTATATCGTATACTACCTAAAATCATTTTCAGTGCCACCTAAAGCCAGTTAAGTGTTACACGTATTAAGAGTACTTGGTGACATCTAGTTTTTTTCAAAGTGCTGTTTTGTCTGTTTGGGTCAACACACTAATAACAGCCCATCCTGAGGTGGGCAAAAATTTAAAAATATAGATGTTCCAAGTTAAAAGGCACAAGCTACTCAATACACTGGAGGTACTAGAAATAGAAATTTTAAAACCTGTCATTAGCAGATAGTCTCTGCCCAAAAAGATAAAACTATTCACTTTTTAGTAACCACAATTAAAATTATTTAATGATAGATTAATGATAGCTATGGGAAAGATACCAACCATCAAAATTAACTCCTAAAATTCACTAGTTTAAACATATTGGAAGGTAAAATTCAGTCTTTACAATAAACTCCACATCTTTGCCTTTAAAATTTTTTTTTAAATGTTTATTTATTTTTGGAGAGAGAGACAGAGAGAGAGAGAGAGAGAGAGAGAGAGAGAGAGAGAGAAATAGAGCGTGAGCAGGGGAGGGGCAGAGAGGGAGACACAGAATCCGAAGCAGGCTCCAGGCTCTGAGCTGTCATCACAGAGCCCAACATGGGGCTCGAACTCACGAACCGTTGAGATCACGACCTGAGTAGAAGTCTGACACTTAACCAACTGAGCCACCCAGGTGCCCCACCTTGCCTTTATTTTTTTTTTTAAAATCCCAGCAAGTAAGGATGTTAATTTACTTACTAGACTGTACAACAGCTTGAGTCTGTGCAGAAGTTCCTGATGCTATATTAGTTAATGCCCAAGCAGCTTCAAACTGTAATGAAGGACTGTAAAACACAATAAAAAAATCTTTAGACACAAAACTATCACTTAAATTTATGACCCGCAGATCTATACAGTTATCCTTTACCCTGTCCTTTAATTTCACCTTGTTATATCCACCTTAGATATCTCCACCTGACTATCACTGGCTCCCAAAGTCAGTCAATACAAACCTACTTCTTTTTTTTTTTTTCAATATATTAAGTTTATTGTCAAATTGTAAACCGACTTCTTTAAGTCCAGTGACTGATAGCTGCAACATTTGGCCAGTCATTATTGTCCTTGACTCCTTCCTCTCCCATAAACATCTAATATAAAAGTCATGTCTATTTTACCCTCTAAGTATTTCTTATATTTATAGTACCCCTCTTAAGACCACTGTACTAGTTGAGGCCTTCACCCACTTCACTTGAATCACTGCCACAGCCTCTGTCTTAAAGCTGGGTCCCCATCTGACTCTACTACATCATCTGCTTTACACACTGGAGATATTATTACAAGGCTGCATAATTTTACTGAAAAGATGAGATCATTACAATTTGGAACTGTGACAGAACACCTCACAAAGAAAGTACAAACTAACCTAGCTTTCCAAAGACAGATAAAGAAAGAAAGGCACTGTCAGCTGGAAATACAAATAAAAGTATCACGGGTGGAATGACCACAATGTGTATGGAGGACAAGGAGCAGATCCAGAGAGTAGAAGCTAAGAAAATATGTAAAAACATGTAACAGGGGATGAAACTGGAAGGGTAGGTTATCCAAGTGTGTGTCAGTGGACAGAGAGGAGTAGAACTCAAATCCCAAGCTTCAACACTTGGAATTTATTCTATAGACATACTAAGTATAGAGGGCTCCTACAGAGTATAGAAAATAATGCAGTGCATCCATGGTATGTAGAATTAGGATAAAAAAGTTAAAGGCTGGTGGACAGACCTGTTGAAAGTAAATTATGTACATCAAGTTAGGATAGATGGCTGTAAGAATATAAATTCCTTTAAATAGAATACCAAGGTGGGAGGAGGTGAGCAAAAACTGAGGAGTGCCAAAGGTTAGGGACTTAGAAGAAAGCTCTATGAATATCGAAGAAAGAGAGTAAGGTTGTAGTACCACAGGTTAGAAAAATCCAAGAAGGAAAAAGGTTTTAAGGAGAATAAATGTCAGAGATAGAACAAGCAGTGAGGTCACAAAGACGGGCCAGATAAGAAAATGGAGGAGCAGATAAGAACTATGATGAATTTTGGCAAAAGGCAGGGGATAAAGAGTATATTGTAGGCAGAGAAGAAGCAAATGGACAATAAGATCAAAGATGATGAATTTATGTCATTCTAGGCCAGAAGAAGAAGGGGTTATTATATTAAGCCAGCCCTGGTAGCTTGGCAAAATACTAGAAATGCGGGCCTTAAATGAGAAAACAGTGAGATATAAAAAAATAAAATTACAAAGCAGGGAATGTTCTAAGATCTCATTTAAAAAAAAAGGAAGAGAAGACATAGAAAAAGAATGAGTGCAATAAGTAAACAATAAATGAGCATTTATTGTAAGTTTGATACTGTGTAGTGTTTTGTGTATATCATTTCCATTCCTCACAATCACCTGATTTTTGTAGATGAGGTATCTGAGGCTCAAAAGCCACTTGAGTTTGGGTCAGTAGTAAACCCTGGATTTAAATCAATGCCTATTTGGCTCCAAGTCTATGGGCTTTTATATGATAACACTATTTCCTATGACCAATCCATAGAATCAGATCCAAACTACTGACAATTTTCTGCTTTTGCTTCAGGTAGTAGTTACAGAGGTCTGTATATATTTTAGCATAATTTTTTGTATATATGCTATTCACAAACACATCCACAAAACGAGGCTATGCCAAAGGCTGGAATATAAAGTTAAAAAAAAAAAAAGATGAAGAAAGAGAAGATCAAAGGGAAAAAGGGTGTCCCTAAAAGTAGAGGTAGAACAGATTGTTTTTTAAATAGCTGATATAAAACTTACTTTTACTTAAATAAATCTTGTTACAGAAAATATGTATGTATAAAGTGAGTGTTAAGCATTTTTGGAGGAACAGTTGCAGCATATAATGAAAGGAAAAAAGAAGTATTTTTAAATAAAAATCCTTAGTGGCTACATTTATCTAGTCAACTGAAAATTCCTTAAGACAACATTTAGCAAAATACACCAAATTTTAGTCTAAATACTCTCAAATGCAAAACTAGCATTTGTTTTAAAATACTTTGTGAAGTTAAAACTCACATTCTTCGCACTTAATTCAAGCTGATGAGGTGTAAGATACAACACACCAAGATATCTCTGAACACTAACAGAAATGGGGCTGTACCTTAAAAGGTACAAAGTAGTGTTTTTTCCTTTGTATTCTGGAAAAGTATAACCTGATTTTTAATCTACTGCAAATAAAAAGCATGACATTAGACAATTAATCATGGTTGGAGTTCTGTTAAAGACTTCACAGAAGATCAGTGGATTAGCTGGAATATTCCCAGGGTAAGAGCCACTCGGTTCTGGAAACCATTCATGTTGACTCAGTCATGAGGTTAATCTATATATAGACTCATAAGCAAAGAGTGACTCAAACACTATTTGGGTTGTTTTAAAATATTACTAAAAACAAAAACAAAATAAATAAAGACTATAAATAAAATATTTGAGGTAAGTTAGAAGAGGCAATAAACAGAAGCTAATATTTTCCTAGAAAATATACACACACTTCAAATAGTAAAAAAAGAAGCACTCTAGGTCTAGTGACTATGATCACAGAATTAGAAAATTACATAAAAATATATAACAAATGAAAAACGTAATAAATGCAAAACCTAAATGAAGCCATTTGTTAAATAATAATCCTACATTTTCTGGTAAGTGAAAAAAAGTGAACAGGGACTCAAATCCATACTTACTTATCATCCCTTTCTAGACATTTGACTAGAATTGGTAAAATCCCAGATTTTATTAGGTCATCAATTGGTGGGTTTCTGTCACTGGATAATAGCTTTCTAGAAAAAGAAATGTAAGAAATTAATTGCTATAATTTTCAAACTATGAACAGACACAGCAATGTATTACTTCTAGCAATGTATTACTAAGACACCTATAATAATACTTCCTCTAGACAAATTAGGATTTACCTTGCAGCCTGGACAGCACTTAACTGGACCACTGGGTTATCACTTGTGGCATTCTGTAACAACAAATGTAAATTTTAGAAATTTAAAAAATATCAATTTCCAAATACTTCAAAATGCAAATATTAAATTAATAACATACCTGCAATATAGCTTCTAGTGTTACATTTTGCTTAAAAGAAAAAAAAGACAGTTCAGGGAAGAGTTTATTAGCAAAATCACATTTATTAAATCATCTATTTACTAAAGTTATGAGTTAATATACATTAATTATCATCATAAAATTGATCTTAAATTCAAAATGAAGTTCTCTGATTATAAAATTATTGTAAAAACACTTTACAACACCAAAGTAACTTACTGCTTTAAAATCAGCATCAACATCTGAATCTTCTAAGCTTTCTTCTTGGGGAACATTTCTTTTTTTCAGTAAGTGTTCATCTCTTTTGTTCTGGATAAGGATAACATGAATTAAATGTGTATACTACAAACCATTGACGGGCCACATACTCGACTTGGTAACGAAATTAACTGGTAACAGTACAGCTTTCACACACACACACACACACACACACACACACACACACACACACTTATTAAACATGATAGTTTTGACCAATATCATGCCTCCCCATCTTTAGTAAAGATTCACATTTGGGAATGCAGTATTACTGTAACAGTCTAGCAAATACATTTCAACTAGCATGCTAGCTTTCATCTACTTACTAAAGCAAGAAGTTGCCTAGATGGGAAAGAGTTTAATGCTCAAATGTTAAGGTCTGTATGCTTGTTGGGAATGTGGGGAAAGGGAATTCATTAGCATAAATGCCACCTACTTGCCAACATCTCATATTTAAATTCTTGCTATCTGGCTTTTACAAACAAAAATTCTCTTCTAGCAAATATATTTCTACATTTTATGGGATTTCAATTGTTTGTAATGGCAGCAACATACGCCATTTCACATATCACTCTGGATAAATCAATCTTCTTTTAAGTTTTTAGTTTGTTTATATAATTAAGTCTAAATAAATTAAAGTCTGAATGACTTCTAAAATCCTTTTCAATTTATAATTTCAAAGGCTGTACCACCTAGTCTTCAATACAATATTTACAGAAGTGTTTGATTATAACAGAAAGTTACTGAAGAGGTATTAATATTGATGTTAAAATTCAGATAAAATAGAAAGGTAAAACTGGAAATATATGTATATCTGAAGTTTTCTGGATTATCTGTACATCTACTTTTGTCCAATGTAAAAGCAAGCATCTTAAACAAACTGAGGCTTATACATATGCTAATATTAGATTACCTACCAACTTCTATTTATATCACAGCAGCATACTTCTTTAGCAACTACTCAATCAATTCTACATCATTTTTAAATTAATGCATTTCACAAATATTAAAATCCATGCACTAGGGGCGCCTGGGTGGCGCAGTCGGTTAAGCGTCCGACTTCAGCCAGGTCACGATCTCGCGGTCCGTGAGTTCGAGCCCCGCGTCGGGCTCTGGGCTGATGGCTCAGAGCCTGGAGCCTGTTTCCGATTCTGTGTCTCCCTCTCTCTCTGACCCTCCCCCGTTCATGCTCTGTCTCTCTCTGTCCCAAAAAATAAATAAATGTTGAAAAAAAAATTAAAATCCATGCACTGATATTTTATAGTCTCAAGTGGCTCTCCACAAAATACTTATTAATTTATAGTGGAAAAACTTGGCAGACAGTATCTTAACCAAGTGGCAAGGGTTAGCATGAGTAAAGAACAAATCCACATTGTGTGCCTTCTGGTCTGATGCACTGAGAAAACACAACTTGTATGGTATTCCTGACCAAAATCCCCACCACAACCACCACCACCACTGGAGGAAAATGAGACAAACCTAAACCTGCCATTCTACAAAAACTAGTCTGTACTCTTAAAAAACGTGTCATGAAAGATAAAAACTGAAGAACTGCCAGATTGGATGAGATTGAGGAAAAGTGACAAGTGCAACGTCTAATCCTGGACTGGATCTTAGATTCATAAGGACATTATTAGGAATTAGCAAAATATGAATTAGATCTATGAATCAGTAAATATTTATCTGTGTTAATTTGACAAATGCAATGTGGTTACATAGGAAAGTGTATGTTTTTATGAAATATGAACTGACATATTAAGGGTAATGGGGCATTATGCCTGCAACTTAACTGGTTTAAGAAAAAGTGTGTGTATGTGTGTGTAAATCAGAGAGAGAGAGAGAGAGAGAGAGAGAGAGAATAAGGCAAATATAGAAAAAAGCTAACAAACAAGGAAGCTGGGTGTTGAGTGAAGAGTGCACAGTGTTTTTTGTACTACTGCAAATTTGAATTTCACAATTTAAGTTTGACATTGTTTCAAAACTTAAAAGCATCCATGCATTGTACTTCGTGATTTGTAACATGGTTAATTTTAAAATCTTTTATATGGCAATTTTAACATCTCTTGGAATTTATTTAAAAGTTTCCCTAAGTTCATCCCATTCTATTTTTATTGTTTTCTTCTAATTATTTTCCAGTCTGAATAATGAAGCCTCCAAAGGCCTTTCAGGAATCATACTCTCTCCATTTCTCCAACTCCCAACAGGTATTTCAGGCATAAAAGCAATACAAAGCATAAATATAGCTAAAGCCTCTTATAAACAACAATGCCTAAAGCAGGGATAGCATTTTATCATGACATATGATGTTTGCAGTCTTTTTTTGGGGGGGAGGGGGGTAAGGAAGCTCATGTCTATACCTAATTTGCTAAGATTTTTTTCTTTTACCTTTTCAGCCACAAATAGGTGCTTCATTTTATTAAACTGTGCTTCTTTTGCATCTATTGATATTGACATACAATTTTCCCCTTTCATCTGTAATGGGGTAAATTAATTGACTTTCTAATGTTAAACTTAGAACCTTGCAATGTAAAATTTATAAGTTTGCAAGACCTGGGATAAGCTGTTCTTGAAATTTTTTTTAATTAAAAAAATGTTTTTAATGTTTATTTTTGAGAGAGGAGAGACAGAGTGCAGGCAGAGGAGGGGCAGAGAGAGACACACACACAGAATCTGAAGCAGGTTCCAGGTTCTGAGCTGTCAGCACAGAGCTAGACGTGGGGCTCGAACTCATGGATGGTGAGATCAAGACCTGAGCTGAAGTCAGATACTTAGCAACTGAGCCACTCAGGAGCCCCTCCTGAAAGTTTAAAGAGTTACCCTTTACTGGATTTAATTTACTAATATTTTATTTCGCATTTTTAAACCTATGTTCATAGGTGAAACTGGCTTATAAGCACCTTTTCTTATGCTGTCTTGGTCACATTCTCAATGTCATGGGTTTGCTAGCTTCACAGAACAAGTTGGGCAGTGTTCCCTCCTTACCTTCTCTAAAATCATTTAATAAGAAATTACCTGTTCTTTGAATGTTTGCTGGAGTTCTGTCTGCAAGATTACCTTTTCTTTTTCAGGAGGTTAGAAGAGGTTAAATATTTTTAGCTACTGAAATAATTTCTTTATTTTTAGAACTATTCAGGTTTTCATTTCTTCTTGAGTTAGCTGGGTAATTTTTTTTTTCCAGTAGGAAGTTGGTCATTTCAGCTAAGTTTTCAAATCTATTGGCAAAAAATTACTCATCATCAAATTGTGGCACACTGTTGGCAAAATGGCTGTAATTCCCCCTTCCAATGCCTCTGGATAGTCTGATCCTGCCCCCGCACTGATTCCAGGTATGGCTGTGTGACTTGCTTTGGCAATGAGACATTACTCAAACGTACTTGAAAACTGCTTACACATCTGAGGATGTCCTCTCTTGCTGCTCTTACAATTCTAAAACCACCATGTGAACACTGTGCTAGCCTGCTACAGGATGAGGCTATGTAGAAGGCAACCAAGGTCTCAGCCAATAACCAGAAAGTTGTGTGAGACCATCTTTAGATCATCTAATCACCAGCTAACCCATCATCAGTGAATGAGGGAACCCAGCAAATATCAGCTGAACTGGCCCAGACTAGAAGAACCACTCTGCCAACCCACAAAATTATTAGTTGAATAAAATGGCTATTGTTTGAAGCTACTTGGTTTTGGATTGGTTTATTACACAGCAAAAACTAAGTGATGTACTAATATTTTAAAACCTATGCCACATATACATTAATATGCCTTTTAAATTCCTATTATTATTTGTTCTATATCTCCACTTACTATAAATTTCTCTTGAGAAGTATTTTTTTAACTATTCAACAGGCTCTGACGTAATTATTTTTCCTATCGCTCATTTCTAGGTAATCATAATAGCCACTAGGATTTCTGTGATGGTCAAGGTTAGAAGTCCTTCCTTCCTTCCTTTCCTCCTTCCTCCCTCCCTCCCTCCCTTCCTTCATTTCTTTCTTTTCACACTATGAGGTTTTTGTAACTATCTTATTCCCAGATTTCTAATTTAACTGTATGGTGATCAGAGAATATAGTCTGCACAACACTCTGAAATTAACTGATATTTGCCTTATACCAGATTTTCTTGAAGTTTCTCAGTCCACAGGGTAGGCCAAATGAAATACCTAAATTTTTTTTTTAATGTTTATTCATTATTTTTGAGATAGAGAGACAGCAGGGGAGGGGATGAGAGAAAGGGAGACAGAGAATCCCAAGCAGGCTCTGTAGCTGTCTGTGCAGAGCCCAACATAGGGCTTAAACTCACAAACCCTGAGATCATGACCTGAGCTGAAACTAAGAGTTCAGCATGTAACACATAATGGACTGAGCCACCCAGGTGCACCTAAATATCCTTTTCAAATAGTTAGGTGCAAACAACTTAATAGTCATTGGCAGGGGATTGAGGGGTTGTGGGGTTGGAGATTGTGTGGGGGGGTAGGGAGGCATATAAATTGAAAGGAAAAAAATTTATTTCACTCTTAAACAAAATATGTGATTAAACAAATGCAGTGAGATCTAATGTCTAAATCATAAACTACCTCAATCAATCCCTAATAGTTCTGTGATATCTAAAAGATGTTAAATGTTGTGATGTTTCCCTTAAAATCTCACAATTTCCCAAATGTCCCTCTGGAGCCCCATGTTGCCTCAGTGCACTTTGGAAATTATAGCTTTATACTATCACAGAGCCATTTTTCAAGGGGTTTTATACATGTTTTTTTAGAAAACACTTGCAAATTAAGTTATTTAACTTTTCTTTCCCCTATTAATTGGTGTGTTTATTACTGACAAGAAAATCTACCACAATGATTATGTCTTTAAGAAATTCCGCCTTGTAATTTTGTCAATTTTTGCTTTATATGTATTTGGACATACAGCACAACATTGAGTTGTGACTAACTTGTTCTGCGAGCGTTCCACAAGATAAGCAAACATTTCTAATACATTTTAATTTGGTAAATGAGTAGGGTGTGATGCCAAATGTCATGTGGTCACAACTGAGCTAATGGCTCTTCTCACTC